GTTGCACAACATTGTAAATTTGCTAAACGCCATTGAGTTGGACACTTAAATTATTGAAATGGTAGATTTCATGTTATGTGTATTGTACCATAATAAAAAAATGTTAAAAAACAAAAAGCAAAGGAAAGAGTCCATGGCTTTATGTGCATAATGCCCATATAATTAGCTTACGAGCTTAAGTTTTAAATTAAAAAAAATGTTGCATGAAATGTATACTGAAAGAATTGATTAAACAAATATTTTATTTTTCAAGTGGTTAATTCTTACAAGTCAGCAATCTGGAACATTTTAAATTTATGACTGAAGACCTGATCTTTCAACTCATTGTTGAGCAATGCTTTCCCGCTTCACTTTTTCCGTGCCACTCCATGTTAGTTTATAATGCCCCCTTCATGTTAACACACCTGTTATGGATTGAACTGTGTCCTCCAAAAATGTGTGTCAACTTGGCTAGGCCATGATTTCCAGTACTGAGAGATTGTCCACCATTTTGCCATCTGATGGGATTTTTCTCTGTGTTGTAAATCCTACCTCTATAATGTTAATGAGTTGGGATTATCGGCAGCTGTATCAATGAGGCAGAACTCAATCTACAAGATTAGGTTGTCTCTTAAATCAATCTCTTTCGAGACATGAAAGGGAGGAGCGAGCAGAGAGACATGGGACCTCATACCACCAAGAAAGTAGTGCCAGGAGTAGAGTGCCTCCTTTGGACGTGGGGTCCGGCACTAAGAAGCTCCTGGACCAGGGGAAGATTGATGACAAGGACTTTTCTCTAGAGCCTAGAGAGAGAGAAAGCCTTCTCCTGGAGCTGGTGCCTGCATTTGGACTTTTAGCCTACTGGACTGTGAGAGAATAAATTTCTCTTTGTTAAAGCCATCTACTTGTGGTATTTCTGTTGTAGCAGTACTAGATAACTAAGACAACATCTTAGTTGGGATTGTTTATCATATGTTGAAAGTATTCATAATCTTTCCTGTGCCTAATTATCTAAATTCATGTATGATTCACTGCTGACTTATCAGGCTCCATAATAAGCATGTTTACTATTCATGTGTTTACTTTCCCCCTAATTATTATTTCACCATTAATGTGAAGATAGTTTTGTTGAAATGTTCAACAGAGAAGCCCATAGTCAAAATTTGAAACAAAAGTTCCATTGGAAATAAAACCAGTTTTTATTGGTATGTTGTGTGACTGCTGTGTAAGAGAAGAAAAATTCCCTTGAGGTGGCTAATTCTTCACATAAATTTTATATTCATTTACAGAGATAGTAAAGTCTATTTGTAATCCTAAAGATACTATCTAGTAAAACATTCTTCCAGGTTGGCCCTAAAGAAAGAGCTACAATAAGGCGTTGCCATTCTAACTGTAGTCTTCTACTTCATAGACTCTGCTATTATTGTCTTTTAACAGTAGGATGATTTGGATTTTATTTTCCTTCTCTTTTCTTTGCTTTCTTTCATTTCTTTACTGTTCGTAGACATTCTTTCTTTCACATTTTCTTTTCTTTTTTTCTTTCTTACTTTCTCTCTCTTTCATTGTCATATTATAACTTAGTCGACTTGGCAAATATCCATCTAATTTATTCCCATTTGGAATAATTTGGTCTCTCTTATTTCTAAACCTTTTTGAATAAGGTTCCTAATAAGAAATTTATAGAAAATACTTGTTTTCAGGTATCTGGTACTGACAATCATATGGATTGACACAATAGCTGTAATAATTGGCTCAAACATACCGATGTTCGTGAGGATGGCTCCAGACTCTGCAAAGCTTTGTTCTGTTGTAAATGACATTACCCTGAGTTCGAGTGACTAAGGGCAGCTAACTACAACAGTACTGAAAAGGATCCATATGAGTTTGAAGGCAGGATAGTTAACATGACTTGTTGAAGCAAACCTGAGGTTGCCTAATAAAGGAGTAAAATTATACTACGTCAGAATTGATTCAGCTGTTGTCAAGTGGTGTTGATAATAAGAATTAAGTGCATTACACAACGGGTTTATTATTGCGTTGTAGTACTTGTTTATAAATACGCATGCTGTATGGTACAGAGCACGTCTGGATTTTAGTTTCGTCTTGCCCTTCCTTGCTAGCTGGAAGGCCTTAGGCAGTCATTTATCAAGAGAGTCTTCAGCTGATTCAGCTATAAAATGGCAGGATCTGTGAGCTGGATCTTTAAGGTCGCTTACTTTCAGAATTCTATTTTTCTTCCGAGACACAATTTATTTGAAATTTTATCTTCCTAAGGGATTGTGTATCTGTGTGATTCTTTCACTTCAACCTGTTAGAATGATGCTTTGCCCAGCTTTACCTAAAGAAAAACATCTAATTGAAAGCCTCTTAATAAATCAGTGGTGCTTTGGGGTTGTGCATTTTTGGTTGTATATCCTCATCCTTTAGCATAGAATAACAATAATCTATTATATTATAAACGCCAAGATCAAAAAGCTGAATATCACTGTCATTTTTCCAAATAGCATTAAATGGTACAGAAATGGGGCCAGCGGCTCAGTAAAAGAATAGATGGGGAAAATGTACAATTATCATTGACAGGGGCTTCACAGGACCTCCGTGGGAAGGAAATAGCCATGCACAACCATTATCACTTAGACAGATGACATGAAATGCACATGGAGTTTTAACACCACAGGGATTTGAAGGCTGGAAGCTGTCAAGTTTAATGGCTCGAAGTGAATAGGTGACAGCAAACCCCCTGAACGAGGTGAGACAGCTTTACAAACAGCCCCATTTCTCTCCGTACTTCACGTTTGCTAGGAAGACAAGGTTGTTTCCTCTGAGAAAACCGAGAAGCTTCATCCCTCAGATTGAATGTCATTAGTGTAGTGCGTGACATTTAAAGACATAAATCTGGTGGAGAAATGTAAATTAGAAAACAAATATGCTGAGGGATAAGACAATGGAGCATTTCCACCTGAGCAGCTCTGGCCCAGAAGACAGTCTATTTACTCAAAGAGAATGAGATCCGGGCGGGACAAGGCGAGGAGCTGAGAGCTGGCTATAAAGAGAAAATCTGAGTCTTCCGGTAATATGGACTGTAAAAGGTTAACGGAAATGAACAATAAACCAGCAAAGAGGGCAGATTTTTGACACCAACACAACTTAAATTATGCAACAGACTGTTTAAAACAAATCTAATTTCTATTGCATGTATATTGCGGCGTACAGTTAGAGCTTCTTATGTCTTTTATAAACTTTCAGTTTCTCTTCTGGCTCTCTAAAGTATAGGTGAAAGCCACTAGTCCCGGCTAAGAAAAGGCTCTCTGTTTTGGTTCAATCTGAAATTAGTTTTGTAATAAACATAATTGGATTAGAATATAGAAAACAGCTTGATGAATTGTAACAAAGTGAACACGCCCATATAAACACCATCCTGGTAAATAAATAGTTTTAAATGACTATGTACTTATTACTAACAGATTACTAGTATCCTAGAAGTATTTCCCAGGTACCTTCCGGATATAGTACTTAACAGAAACAAGTAAAGTCTTTGAAACTGTCCAAGGAAACATAATGATTAAGTGACATGTGCGATTCTGGGTAGGATCTTGGAGCAGATAAAGGACATTGGGGTGAAAACTAAGAAAATCTGAATAAAGCACGGACTTTAGTTAATGATAATGTATCCATATTGGTTCATTAGGAGCCCTGGTGGCACAGCGGTTAAAAGCTCAGCTGCTAACCAAAAGGTTAGCAGTTTGAACCCACCAGCTGCTCCACAGGAGAAAGATGTGGAAGTCAGCTTCTGTAAAGATTTACAGCCTTGAGAACCCTATGAGGCAGTTCTACTCTGTCTTACAGGGTCGCTATGAATAGGGACCGACTCGATGGCAATGGGTTCATTGGTTCATTAACTGTGACAAATTCACCGTACTACTGCAAGATATTAATTAGAGGAGAAAGTAGGTGTTGGGGGGGTATGAGAACTGTGGTACTGTCTTTGCAATATTTCTGTAAATCTGAAACTATTCTAAAACAAAAAGTTTATTAAAGAAAAGACTCAAGTCTTCATTCAGTTTCCTCCACAGGAACATTTATTGAGCACATACCTAAATCATAGAGATAGAGAAGGATTATAAATTATTGGAGCTGGAATCGAGCTATGTATCTCTTGGTCCCATTTTTTTTCATTTTATTGATGAGGAATCTAAAGGACAAGAGCTTTAAATGACATGTTCGAGATCATATAGCTAACAAGTGCAATAGTTAAGACTGGACCCTAGATCTCCTGACTATACTGAGAGTTCTTTCTACACAGCTTTCTGTCTCCTATGATAAAATAGAATCCTCAAAGGGATAATGCAGTTTGGCTGGGCCAATTCATAAGTCCTATAAATGCAATGAGTCTCTAACAACTTGACCCTCTGATGAGCACTTCAGTGTTAATTCCAAGCAGTGTAACCAAAACCCAATGTTTGATTCTATAGCACAGACGTTGGACTATTTTTCTATTTCTACTTATTTCCCATTTTTCCTGCCATGGGTCAATCAATCCCTACAACATCTAAACAGTCATGAACAAAGAGCGGCTTCATTTGGAGTATCGGGGCAGTGATATTTACTGCGGAGTTTCAGGCTTACTGGTGATCTGAGTTGATTTCTTAATGTGATGACATATTACATAATAAGGTATGGAGATAGGTTTATTCAACACATAAATAAACACTTCTTGGGAGTCCTACTGTTTACCAGACACTCTGGAAAACTGTAAAGGAGCCCTGGTGGAGTCGTGGTTGAGCACCACGATGGATCCAAACAGATCGGAGATCGTGCTGAGGGCGCAGGACCCAGCAACGTTCGGTTCTGCGGTACCTACCGGCGCTCCGAGTCATAGCTGACGGTCAGCAGCCAACAGCAACAACGGAAAAGTGAGATGAATGTAACCGAATTGAAGTGTAGACAACAGTGGGGACGTGGAAATGTATGACAGCACAGTCATGTTCACACAGGGTGGGGGGCATTAGGAGATGACACACCTGCCATGAAGTAATGATTTGGAAACGTCTTCCTGCCTCTCCCGGGGAGGCCTGTTGGGCAAAAGTGTCGCTGTCATAATTCAGTCCTCAAATCCGAGTTTCGAGTTTAGCAGAACACTTGATGGAGGCAGCTGTCAGGGAAGCAGGGAAGCGTCAAGGGGCTGATGGTGAGGTGAGTGGGGTGAGGACAGCCTAGGGAGTTCTGTGATGATTACAATGGGGCTTTGGAGAAATGATCGTGTGCTCTTCAATCAGGAGCAGACAGGCATGAGTCACCATCCCAGCAGTGTGCAGCGTGACAGTGACCGTTAGGAGTACTGGCTCTGGCTCCAAACTCACTGAGCTTGACGCCTAGCTCCACGCCTTCCTAGCTGTGTAGACCTTGAACAAATCATTTGGAACTTCTGTGCCTCAGTTTCCTCATCTGACTTAAAATAATAGTACCTATCTAAATAGGGCTGTTATGATAAATGCTTTATTTATATATATATGTAGAGACAGAGAGACAGATAGACAGAGAAAGAGAGAGAGAGAGCTGAGATCGGTACTTGAAACAAAATAAACACCCAGTATCTATTCTATTAAGGATCCCTGGTGGTGCAATGGTTAAAGCGATTGACTGCTAACCGATACGGTCGGCGGTTCAAAACCACCAGCAGCTCCAAGAGAGAAAGATGTGGCAGTCTGCTTCTATAGAGATTTACTGCCTTGGAAACCCTATGGGGTCGCTATGGATTGGAATCCAGTCAACGGCAGTGGGTTTGGGTTATTATTATTACTATTTTAAATCTATTCTATTAAGAGTCCCTGGGTAGAGTAAATGCCAACTGAAAGATTCATGGCTTGAACCCACCCAGATGCACCTCAGAAGAAAGGCCTGGTGATCTGCTTCTGAAAAGTCACAACCTTGAAAATCCTATGGAGTGCAGTTCTATTTGGCAATACATGGGGTTGCCTTGAATCGAAGTCAGCTTGATAGCAACTGGTTTGGTTTGGTTTATCTGTATCTGTTACCATTATTTTTATGGAAAATCCCATCACATGTCCATTTCTTACAGAAACCGAATAGAGAAGTCAAGGTTTATAGGACTCTGGGGTCATAGGGCCCTCTCCCAAACAAGGCAGGCTAGGCAAAATACTGCTAAGGCATCCATTTTAATGGGTTCTGCCACAGGTCTAATAAAAACTGTCCTCTTCAAGGCTGCCCCGTGAGTTCTTTTAATATACCCTAAAACAAGCCAAAACTGTATTTCTGTCCGGCCTTTAATCTTTGGGAGCTGAGCTCACACTGCTGTGTAGGCAGCCACACTGACTGACGGGGGGAGCAGCCTTCTAATGCAGAGAGCCTTCCACGCAGACGTGAATCACCATGTCCTCACTGGACGAGCCTTTCCGTTACTGACTGCGCTGTTCAACTTGACCTTTAGAGGCCAGACATCAAAGCACTGTGGTGTGATTAAGTCTTCCGATATCTTCCATGGGTGGAATATTTTAATGCTTAAAACAGAATTGTCTTGAGACGGGCCATTTTAGTTGGAGCTTTGTGCCCAAGACAGAGGTGGCCAAGGCAGACTATGAAACAAATCAGTTTTGATCAGTAAGACGCAAATTGCCTTTGGTTCATAGAAACAAACTGGTTTTTATAATCATATTGCACCTATATTAAGGCTGGGAAATATATATCCCTTTATTCATATTCAACATTGGATGCACTAAACGGACAGGCATTCCTAATGTCAGGCTGCTGCAGGTGTCAAAAATTTCCACAAAGCGCTTTAAGCTTAAACGACTAATTTTTGTAACTTTATAAATATTGAAGACAAGGGAAAGCTTCTAACTACCCCACTGCTATAAATGATGGCAATCAATCACTGGGAAGTAGAGAAGGTCATCTTCAAAGAGGCCAGAAAAGATCAATAGGGTCTCCTAGCAACAGACCCGCATGATCTGGCAGATCTGGCAGCCAGCTGGGACCTCTCCAGCCCTCATCTGACCCAATCAGCCGTGGTAGGGTCACTCACGACATTTTCCTAATGTGAACTCAGAGAACGTATTTCCCAAAGATGTCCATACTTATCAAATAAATATGAGGGGGAATGAGCACCTAGTACAGAATAGAGAAGTAATTCAATTATATCTGTGGCAAACAGTATTTGATTTGACCTAGATAGCCCTGCATGAGCTGCAAGCAGAGGTGCAAAGAAAATTAAATGCTGTTGCTCAGCAAATTCAAATCACAGAAATTAATACACCAGGCAAATCACTGGACTCGGGAGGTTGTTTGTTTAGTTTTGTTTGTTATTCTAATCAGAATTGAGTTTTATATGATGATCAAAATAATATTCCAGATCTAAAACGCCCATTTATTCTGACCTTAGCCCAGACTGATTTTTTAATCATATGTTTTGCTCCAGTTTTTTTTACACAATTTTCTTTTTAAGCCCACTCATTCCTACGAAGGATGGGAAAAACAAATAAACTATTATAATACAGTGTGATACATACAAAGCACATGCTATAACCTGATCCCAAAGGGAACACGTCACCCAGCCTGCTCCGGGGGTAGTGACCAGAGCAAGATTTCTGGAGGGTTTGATGTCTGAACAACTTTTCTTAGCAATAGTTTACTGGCCTCTCAAGCTAGTTCGTCTGGTTTCAAATCTCATATCTAAAACTGACTAGTTGTTTGACTAGGTAAACTATTTAACATCTTAGTGCCTCAGTTTCCTCATCTGTATGATGGGCACAAGAATAGTTGCTATAAACATGAAACTAAAGTGTATGAAGTGCTTATAAGAGTATCTGGCATATAGTTAGCTCAATAAATGTTAGTTTTTGTGATTATGCTTAGAAATAATTGCTTTGATATATGGTAATTCCAGCCATTCATTCCTTCAATAAATATTTCCTGGGTTCTTCCTCTGTCAAGCGCTGTTTTAAGCCTTGGTTCTACAGAGCATGAGATGAGGTTCCTGTTCTCACGGAGGTTACATTCTTGAGATCAATCTCATGTGTGTCCTATATAAAGTACTGGGAAAGAAAGTCTTGAAATTTCAGTTTTTTAAAATGAGTAAAACAGTGCAAAGAAGGCTGTAAGTATAGAAGGTAGTGTTTACCACAGTTTCTGCCAATCTCATTTTGCTCCAAGCAAAAGGTGGGGAAAATGAGATGAAAGTTAGAGGGAAATGTCCTTCAACTTCGTGAAAGGGCAGTTGCTCATATAATGTGACTCCAGGGGCACTGGGGAAAGGCCTGAGGGTTCCAAAACTTTCTTTAACCTTTGATATTCCCATTATTAGAAACACATTACTTTGGGACAAAAGATTATTATTCTTAAAATTCCCTTTCAACATATACGTTATTCTGGAATGAATAATAAATATTAAATCATAATTATCTATTAGCCCATTGCTACTGAGTCGATTCCAACTCACAGCAATCCTATAAGACAGAGTAGATCTGCCCCATAGGGTTTTCAAGGCTGTAATCTTTACGGAAGCAGACTGCCACTTCTTTTTCTACAGAGCAGCTGGTGGGTTCAAACAGCCAACCTTTCGGTCAGAAGCCAAGCACTTAACCACTGTGCCACCAGGTTCCAATTATCTATCAGTTCAGTATAAAAGAGGAGTACTTGGGCGGTGCAAACAGTTAAGCGCTCAACTAACAGCCAAAATGTTGGCAGTTTGAACCCACCTAGAGGCACCTTGGAAGATAGGTAACAAACTTGAAAAGTCTGTGGTGCTCCATAGGGTTTCGCTCTGCATACATGGGATCACCATGAGTCAGAATCGACTCGAAGGTCACTAACAACAATAACGCAGTGTGAAAATCAGTCTATCAGATATCACCAAGCCTGTCGCCTAGGAAGGTACTGAGATCAACAGGAAGCACAAGTTAGAACGGGCTCAGAGTCAGAGAAAAGGGTGGAAGAGGAATAATTTCCCCCAAGGATGGAGAGGCCCTTAGTGAACATTGCAGAGGGCGCCACTGGCCAGCCTGGGGTTCCCCTGAGGGCCGTGGGTACCCAAGACAGAGGGATGGGGAACACTTGAACATAAAGACTGGTAAAGTGGGGCTTCTCACCTCTGCTCTCAAAACCACAGCAAGACCAGACAAGCAGAAAAAGTACAAACATTCTGGTGCTTCATTTAATAGGAAGATGACTTGAATTCTAGTTTGTCTCTGTCGTTTACTGTCTCCATGAACTTGGGAAAGGTGTTTAACTTCTCTGAGCCTCAGTGTCTTCATCTCTAAAATGGCGAGGACAATACCTCTCTTTTAAGACTGTCCACGGATATAGAGATTGTAGCTCCTATAATAGGCACTCAATGAATGAAATAATAATGATAACATTAATACAGTTATACAGTAAAACCTGCAAAAGCCAGAACCTGTATAAGGTGGAAATCTCTCAGAGAGGGAAAACGCAAATCTTTTCCATTAACTAGAGAGCAATAGAAAAGTGCTGAATTTGCACCCCGTTAAAGGCAGAAAACTTAGGAGACCCCGAAAAACAAAGCAGTTCACTGTATTATCATTACCACGATCTTAGAGCATAAATGCCATGGGACCGGAGGACAGAGTGCCTATTTCTCGTATCATTACAGGGTCCACTAAGAGCAACATTATGTCAAACCAAAAAAGCCCATTGCCATCATGTTGGTTCCCACTCATGGCGACCCCGTGTGTTACAGAGTAGGACTGCTCCACAGGGTTTTCTTGGCTGTAATCTTTACAGAAGCAGATCACTAGGCTTTCCTTCCATGCCACCACTGGGTGGATTTGAACTTTGGGTAAGTAGTTGATTACAAACCCTTTGTGCCACCCAGCCCACCCTAACACTGTGTTGTGGTTGCTGTCAGGTGCCGTAGAGTCAAATATGACTCATAGAGACCCCACGTGACAGAGTAGAACTGCCTGGTAGGGTTTTCTTGGTTGTAATCTTTAAAGAAGCAGATCATCAGGTCTTTCTCCTGTAACCCGCTGGGCAGGTTTGAAACACCAACCTTTTGGATAGCAGCTGAGTGCTTAACCATTTGTGCCACCAGGGCCCTTTAATACTATGCATTATGTAGGGGCTTATAAATACACCTGTTGGTTAAGTGTGAGTGTA